TAAGAAAAAAAGAATAGAATAGAAAAGAAGGGAAGGGAATGGAACTGAGTGGAGAATAAAATAGAATAGAATGCCCTGTTTACCCAAAAATATGACCTAGTGTGAAAATAAGTCCTAGCTTGATTTTTACTTGTGCACCCAATATAAGCCCTACCCACAAAATAAGCCCTAATCAAGATGCCACCCACTCCAGAGTAGACAGGTAAAAATTAAGCTAGGGTGGGGGTGGGAGGGTGTTGTAGCTAGGCCTCGCACACCCCAAGCCCTGCCTTGCCAGACCATTTCTTCTGCAGCCAGCACAGCTTTCCTAAAGGCCTCTGTAGCTGATAACAGCTGATCGATCTGGGCTCTCTTATCAGCTCCAGAGGCCTTCAGGAAAGCCTTGCTTGGCCGCAGAAGAAGTTCCTGAAGGCCTTTGACAGTGAAAAGGAGGCTGGGGGTGACGCATGCAAGTGAGGTGAGTCACTGGATGAACATAAGACCTAATGGCTTTTTTTGGTGGCAAATATATATATATAAGACAGTGTCTTATTTTCAGGAAAACATGGTAGAATAGAATAGAATAAATAGAACAGAATAAATTAGAATAGAAATGAATAAATTAGAATAGAATAAACTAGAATAGAATAAGATAGAATAAATAATTGGAATAAAGAATAGAATAGAATTAGAATAGAATAAGAATAGAATAGAATAGAATAGATATTGGAATAAAGAAGAGAAGAGAAGAGAAGAGAAGAGAAGAGAAGAGAAGAGAAGAGAAGAGAGATAGAAGAGGAGGATTTGCCGCGAGTGGAAGGGAGTCATTTCTAGCTAAACCGAAAGGTCAGAGACTGAGGCTCCGGCCACGCACCCACCCACGCATCCGGAGCGCATGCTTGCCGCAGCCTGTTCTTTCTCCAGCCTATTTAGAGATCAGCAGTTCTGGGGACGGCTGTTTTGGATTGCCTGCCCGCCCCCCACACCTTCCCTCCCCCCCAAGTGCAAAGTAATTGTGATGTATGGGAAGCGAGGCACAAGCAAACCAAAGCATCAGAACGGAACCGAATGAGAAATTCTTCCAATTAGCCATCTCGGCAGGAGAAGAAAACAGTTTCCGTTGGAGTCTCCAACAGCTGGGTCACCCCTGAGATCTTTTATTTATTAGGATGCTTTTCTGCAAGACAGTCGACTTACAAGGTGAGAGCAGGAAAGCAAGCTCTTCTATCTCTCCCTGGAGGAGAACCTCAGCCTTGTTCGGGTGGCTGAGGTCAACTCTTGGGCCTTTGGGAAGATCACGGAGGAGTGAGACTCAAAAGATAAACGCAGCATCTTCCTTCATGGTCTGCTTCAAAATCCGGTGCTGGACTCACTCATTTGAACGATGGGGACATCCCCTATCTTGGGCCACTTCTGATGACAGATCAACTGAGTTGGAAGGGACCTTGTAGGTCATCTAGTTCAACCTCCTGCCCAAGCAGGAGACCTTACACCATTTCTGACCAAGGGCAGTCCAGTCTCTTCTTGAAAGCCTCCAGTGATGATGAAGCTCCCACCACTTCCAAAGGCAAATTCTGTTCCTTGGGTTGATGGTTCTCATTGTCAGAAAATTCCTCTTTATTTCCAGGTTGAATCAGTTTCCATCTATTGCTTGTCTGGCCTTCAAAGGTGCCTTGGAAAATAGCTGGACCCCTTCCTTCTCTCGTGGCAGCCCCTCAAATTTGGGAAGACTGCTATCCTGTCTCCCCTTCTCTTCATTAAACTAGCCAGGCCCAGTTCCTGCAACCCTTCTTCATGTTTTAGTTTCCAGGCCTTTGATCATCTTATCTAGATTCAGTTTAACAGAGGTGGAGGGTACCTTGTAGGTCATGTAGTCCAACCAGAGATGGTATTCAGCAGGTTCTGACCAGTTTTGGAGAACCGGTAGTGGAAATTTTGAGTAGTTTGGAGAACCGGCAAATACCATCTCTGACTGGAGATTTTACAGTATCCTTTCCCTGCTATGCCCATTGAGCCACGCCCATACAACCGGTAGTAAAATTTTTTGAATCCCACCACTGAGTCCAACCCCCTTGCCCCAGCAGGAGACCCTACACCATTTCTGACAAATGGCCATCTCTCCAGTGATGAAGCTCCCACAACGTCCGAAGGCAACTTCTGTTCCATCGGTTGATTGTTTCCCCTGTCAGAAAACTTCTTATTTCTAGGTTGAATCTCTCCTTGTTACGTTTCCATCCATTATTCCTTGACTGGCCTTTGGGTGCTATGGAAAACAGCTGGATCCCTTCCAAAGAACATCTGAACATCACAGCCCAAGGGAGTATCCAAAACATTTCACGGAGCTTCGCTTGGTGGCCCTGATTGTATACCCCCTTATGTGGGATTCACATGGATGTCTAAGTCAATTCAAGATTTCATTTGCACCCCTAAAAGCTGATTTGAAGCCAGGTCCTTGGAAAGATCAAGTGTTCTCCAAAGATCCCGTTGGCTAGTTCTTCTGAGATCTCACTACAAAGAGAGCCCAGCTAGATGGGGACTATCAATTTTATTTTAATCTATTTATTAATGAGAGCTTAGCTTGCCTTTTGTTCAGGGTGATTTAGGATGAGCCGAGAAGACAGCCGGTCATGGGCTCAAAATCACCCAGGGAATTCAGTAGCTAAAGATAGTCTAGGTTTCCTTGAGGCTAGTCCAACACGTTAACTCTACGACACCCAGCTTTCATATTTACTTCTTGTAATTTAATGCTAGCTTCTTCTCCGGAAACGAAAAGATGCCATGAATAATTCATCCCAAACCTGCCTTGCCTTCTTCTTTATAACACCATAAGTGAGATTGGGGTGGACGATGCCGAGGAGCGAGTGGTCAACCAGGCATGGCCAAGTGGGCGATGAACAGCACACATTAAGCAAATTTCCTTTCTTAAACAGTTGTTTGCAACATCAAGATCTACTGGCTTCAGGCTTCAGCCCTTTGATGTGTTTTTTCCCCCCTAGAAGTCACCTATCATATTAATTAATGAATTGAATATCTCAAGAAAGGCAACCCTTTAAAAATGTTTCCTTCTTTTTTTCCTTCCTTCCTTCTTTCTCTTTCTCCCTCTTTCTTTCTTTCTTTCTTTCTTTCTTTCTTTCTTTCTTTCTTTCT